ACAGTTATCGATGAAAAAGTAGAGCTATTAATTGTATCACTTACGCGATTGAAATACGCTTCGCAGAATAAAATCGGGTCACGCCGAGATCGGATATTGCTATACAATTGACTAAATATCGGCAACGAAAAATCGAAGAGACGGAAATTAAAGGAAAAAACCCGGATAATATATATCGCGCGCAAAGTGTACGTTCCAAGAGAGCTACTGGCATAATCTAGAGTGCGGCCGCCGTAAAGTTCGTACATCACAAATCCGAACGATTAGCCTAGTTACTACACGAAGGGAAAACGCCCGACGGAATGACGTATCTGCATCGTGAATCTCGATATAGCGGGAACACGAACGTCGCTTTTGGGCTTTACAGCTCGCTTATCATACCGCTAGGATGCTTTCCATCACGCAAACGTTTACGAGAAAAAAAAATGAGTGTCCCGTTCAAATCTCTAAATACGACGACTGTGAATAAATGCGAAATATCGCATTGTGCAGTACTCGATAGCGTGTAAAGCGCAAATTTGATTTTTTGTTTTCAACCTAATTCCACACATCAATTTTACTAATTGATAATTTAAAAGAAAAAAATCTTCTGCGCTTAGAAACAATTAAATAAATTTGGATCAGCTTATAACACAAGACGATATCAAGTTTCGATCAAGCCGATAATTTTATGCTACTTCTGGATGCAATCTATTTTGCGGATCATGCAAGTATTCGCGACGCCGGAATCGTCCATAGATTAACGCACCTGTCACACATAAATATTCGCTGATAGACTGAAGTGTTCGGTCCTCTTCGCGTTTTCATCCTCTTCGTGGAAGAAGAGACGAGAAGTTGGCGCATCCCGCGTTCGCGAGAGAGTTCCGGTAAGTGTCATCCCCAACAATTTAAGGAACATGTTTTCGTCGAGAACCGAATTGGAATGTGACGCACGAAAGTTTAAAATTATACCGTTTCTCATTAGATACAAATTTATTTATCGCTTTCTGAACTATTAATTCTCGCGATGAGATTAAATTCTACTCATTATCATGAAAATTGCATAAATCAAATTTTAAAATAGTAATACTAATAATAATATGATCGATTATATTACGAGCTAGAATTAAGTAACCATGAATCGTTATTCACGGCGTTCATCCTACTGTGTAAAATTTTTTTATGCAAATATTATAGACGGACGGTATAAAAGATTACGAGATTCTAATTCTCATTAAAGCGACCCTGTCAAAGTAATGCTTATAATTGATTTCTGATTTCAACATGAGTCTCCTGATAATTTCAAGTTCTGCCTACTCACGCCTACGGATACTCAATATTACACGAACATACCGAATTTTTCATGACGCGGCTCCGACTTGCAACCGATGCATCTTGCGCCGACTCTTCTCTACGAAAGTAGAAGTGCGAGCGGAGAAACTTGATATTCGAGATCGCAATTAGTTCCTGCCGTACGTGTGTGTGCAGGATTTACAACCTGTATTTATCTCCGCGAGAGCCGTAGGAAGTAGGAAACTCAATGTGCAACGACGCGCGATTCATCTCTCGACATATTATCGTCAAACCAGATTAATTTTCCTTCAATTATTCCAAATCTTTTGAATAATAATTACATTACTACATAATTAACAATACTTAAGTTGTCTTGAAAGTTTTCTGTTAGTATCGATAATGACCAAAAGTTAGATTATATTAATTATTAAATTAATTAATAGGAACTAATTCCCTGATAATTGCTATACCAGATATTATTAGATGATTTGTCAAAATATCAAGATAGCAAAAATGAATGCAATAAAATACTGAAATTATGAGATAGGAGGATAGTGAGTTAAAAGAGAACACGTCTAACTGACGCAATTAATTAAATCGTCCCAATTAACGTACTCGATGCTGACAAGAAAGACTGGCGTCGGACTGAAATAAAATGCAAGGTATTAGCATTTCTCCTCGTCCGAATTAGCATGCTGCACGTAGCGACTAGCTAGACCGCGATTTAGGCCAATGGACAATGATGATGGGCGGCAGTCGTCCTTGCCAAGCAATGTCGTCCTGACGGCGATCGAATCGTTTACGCGACCCGCTTTTTTTTCAGGACATGGCACAAGGCGCTAAATGTACTAAATTTACTCGCTCTTTTCCTCCACCCTCCCTCTTCTCTCTTCCCTCCGTCTTCTGTCTAAAAATTCACAGATATCGATTCACGCAGAGTTTCGGTACGAGAGATACATTTAGATTGGAACTTTAACCGCTAAAGTTTACCGAAATAGTGAAACATCACGCTCGATCACGGCGCAGCCACGAATTAAATTAAGCATAATTTAAATTCAGGATATCGGGCTTTCCGAATGTCGCAAAAAATCACCACATGCACCCGCAGAGATTTATGACCGATGAGAATAAAAATCCGCGGTACCAAAGAACCCGCCACCAGAAATTTGCGTGAATTTAGGGAGTCTCGTCTAAAGTTGGACGACCGACAGTGGACAAATCATTTTAACGAACGTTTTATTCAAATCCGCTGGGTTTTTTCATGATCCGAGATGCCGATCAGATCGCTTCTATTGTTCAGGTTTGTCCTATATCAAACGAAATGTCAAAATACATTCGAAATATAGAATACCTTGTGGTTTCTCGATTTCTCCATTCATAGATTTTCTGAATATTTCAGTCAATTTGTACAAAACGCAAATTTTGTTAGATATCGTATCTTTTTACTGCTTCTCAATGTTTAACTTTAAATATCTTTAAATCACAATTTTAACTATACAAGATTTATTAAATAAATTAAATTTATGTAATTTTTATAATTGATAATCGTTGAAAACGAAAAAACTCAAATATTCGAAACACTATGTGATCTATAAAGAGTCATCATATATCGTCATAATACTTAGAATAGTATCCACAGTCATGATGTTCTTGATGAATAAGAATTTCTTATTTACACATATGTGCATATACGTGCATACATGTGTACAAATAAAAAATTCTTATTCAATAAGAAAAGACTACGAATACCGCCCACAGAGTAAATTCGCTCCGCTCGTTCCCTTCTGTTACTTTTAGGAGATCGAGACTAGTATACCGAAGACCATTTATCTTCATCCCCACTGTCATTTCTTTTCATTTGTTTCATTATCGTGGTACGGCAGCCTCGATCGAGACCTGCTCTATTAGCGATATGACGTCGCGTGCACATGCAAAGCCCTTATCATGTGACAGCGCCGAGTGCATTGAACCTACGTGAAAATCCCGCATGGAAAGGCAGGCTGAGCTCAAGCTCTCAATTTAATCCTTTCGACTACTTAAAACGATATCCAAAAATAACATTTGCGATCAGAAAATCATGTATCCTATAAACCATTCTACGTATCGCTATCACAATGATAAATTTCTCTAATGACATATTTCTTGAACAATTTAGAAGATTAATTATAAGATAAGAAGACTCATAAAAGATACGTGAGGACGATTTTTTTTAAATGTAATATTACGTATATTTCTTAATTTAAAAATGTTGGGTCATTTTTTAGCCAGTGTATAAATTCAACACTAGACTTTCAGACGTTAGTGAATTTTGAAACGTGTTACTATGTACTCTATATTTCATTTTTTTTATGTAAAAAATTCGTTAGTCTAAAGACTAGTCCTACTTTTCTTGATAATAAATACAATCTGTTGAAACTATACGCAGAGAGATGAGTGATTACTGGTTTGCCCTGAAGAGTAGCGAATCTCGGCCGAGGTCGTATGTCATACACAGGGTGGCATAATAAAAGCATCGACTCACCTGCCGTGAAGTGCTACGATAAAAGGATAACGAGCCTGACGAGACTGAATAGCCGTAGCCTCAGTCGTAGCAAACGCTAGCCTTCGATTCGCCACGCTAATGCTTTCAATTTATCCGATAATGCTCGTGACGCATTTCCAGCGTGAAGAAACGAAATTGCTCGGATATAACGAGATACGCGAGCAGAACTGAACGTTTAATAGCCCGCAATTAACTCTCTGTTTGGTAAAGCGAAGGCTTACTTTGTACCATAATTATTAACGTAACGTAACTGTAACAGTTACGACAGTCTAATAATCGTACGAGTGTTGACCTTCGGATCATTATCTATTTTGTGACATCCACTGTACGACTGCATTGAAAAATTTAAAGAAATTTTTTTTTTCATGTATGTTTATCTAAGACAATATTTCACATTAATAGATATTGATTGCGTTTCAGTAACATAATCTTTTTTTGTATAGAAACCAAACACTTTCAATCGTTTGAAACACGATTTTTTAAAAGAGAAAGAATGAACCTATAAATAAGTTGAAAACATTTAAATATTAATGCAAATCGCAAAATACTTCTTGAAAATTAAAACAATTACTGTATCTTGTGCTTGTGTGAGTAAATTATACAGTACTTATAATAATTAAGCTATCCACGTGCAACGGGGACAGATCATTAATTGAATACAACATCGCATGTAACGTAAATGCAGTGACGTGCGTATTCGTCAATGAAAGATACGCGTATGCACTGTCAATTCTTGCCACGGATTTAATTAAGGCTTGCCTATCACTGTTATTTGCGGTCGCTGTACGAAAGGCAGAGGTTCAAACAGACTGCTTCTACATCGGCTCAGAATTTAATTTACAATGCGTCTCTTTTAAAATTTAAATATTATATACACACACAAATTTTTTAATAAGTTATCAAGTTATTAAAACATACCTTATTCATTAGATAATAATACTACAAAAAAATCATTTAAAAATGACATATATATTCCGTTTCTATTCTCTAAATAAATTTGTCAAATAATTAAAATAAGTAATAAATAATTATACAAAAAAATCTGTCAAGCATTGCTATTATGAGTGATTTTCGTTGTCCCGATTTTTAGCAAGGCTCAGTTTATCTTCACTTCGACAGAGGATATCAAACACATTATTCTGCCCAGAACAACAAACGGCAAAAAGGCGAGTATCATAATACATACCTGGGAGATAAGAGAGAAATGATGCCGCGGTGACGAAATGCGAAGAGGAGAAAATCACCACGTCGAACTCACCACGTCGCCGGTCGGAAACGAGGGTGGAACGCGTCGCCTGCAATTAAAAAAGACGACGCTCTTAGGAAAGATTTTGCGGAGCGCGAAATCACGCCGCCCTCAAATGGCGACATTATTCCGCACTCGCGGCATTTCTCTGCGCGTTCGCCCTGCATTCATGCTTGTTAAGCCACGTTTGTGACGCGCGTAGACACATATGCAGCCGATAAAATGCCGCCTATTCGGCGGCATGCGGAATATAGAGAGTGCCTAAACTTGCGGTATATTCAGACGCGTCTAGTGGAACGAGACAGAAATGAAGCTAGCCAATTCTTTCCTTCTTCCACAAGATATATGCAATTAATTTTTTAATATTACAAAATATCGTGTTCTTTCCCAATCAAGCTTCTTCATTTTTTATCTATATTGCTTCTCTGTCTTTCTGTTATATGTGATTATTGTTAAAGATAACTAAAATTATTTTCAATAACAATAGAATCGTCAACGTTTATATTAAACATTAAACTACTTTTAATTTAAAATATTTATCCAAAAAAATTTATGTCTATAAATAATTTTAAATAATTGTGACCATACTAGAATTTGCAATATATTACAGTAATAATAACGTTATTTGAAATCTAATTCATTGATTAGCTATTCTATATTACATTTATTATCAATTAAAGTTAATTCCAATTTTAACTTTATCTTAGGACAAGATAATATTATTTTTTAATAAAGAAATAGTAATTTTTTTCTTGAAAATATAACTTATTAAGTTTCAATCAATTTATTTGTTGCAACATCATAAATATCAATTTTTATATTGATACTAATTTTATTTTATAAATATTTTGTAATAATTAAGAAAAATAAAAGAGTGAGTGCATACATAAAAACAAGATTTAATTAAATGGTTCAGAACAATTTCTACCGCCTAAACATTCCTAACCTTCATAAAGTTGCTTTCTTTACGACGTCTAAGAAGATATAATAAGATCGCGATTGCGTATATTCAGGTCAATTAGAGCTAATTCTCTTCTGTCGCGTAATTAATTTTGTAGCCGATTGAAATGGCGCCTCTTACTATATAAATAACACGAAATCGTTTTGCTGGACCGTCCTTATTTTTATAATTAGCGCATTTATCAAGAATTTTAAATTCGGGTAATAATATCCCTCTTGTAATATCGTCAAAAAAATGTAATAGTTTGACTGAAATGTCACACAATGGCATATATCCAATTTGAGGTGATCTAATTTTATTTTGTTTGAAGACACGGTGCTCAAATAAAAATTAAGAACAGATAAATTAAAACTATGACTGTGCACGTTTTCTCGATACTTGTATAATATCAATTAATGTAACTATACCAATACTTTTCAATAAACATGTGATGGGAAAAGTTTATGACTATGTAGTATCATCACTTAATTTGTCAATATTGCACTCGATAATGGATTTAATCATTGTCACAACGTGTTTTGTGATGTTAAGATTAACAAGAGAATCACTGAATATATTATATTATATATGTTATATATTAACAGAATATAACAAAGGACTCGTTACGGACCTATAACAATATGCAACTACGGGCGCACAATACATTCTAATGGCAATTCTGCCGTAGAAAATATTTTTTTTGTGAGCACACGAGTGCCTATATTATAAAGATATAAAGATAGAGATAAAGACAACGGAGAGAGAGAGAGAGAGAGATATGCGATCGATTTCGTCACATGCATCCGCGACAACGCTTAATTGTTTACGACAAGGCTGTTGCTCCGGCATTCTGTCAATCATTTTCACGTGCGCGTGCTCGCGGATGTATTGTGTTCACTCGATGGAAATGATTATAAATGTATTGTCATTGATTTTTCTTTTTCTTAATTTTCTTAATTTATCCACTTATCATAATGTTGCATAAAGCGTATTCTTCTAACTCAAGTAGCAATTAATTAAAACAAAATTATGTTTACTACATATAAATAATAAAAATTTAATTGTATCAGTATTAATATATTGATACATTACAAAACATGGAAATTAATTTATAATATAATTTATTTATTAAATTATTATAATGCAAAATACTTTAGAATCTTTTCTAATAATTTATTAATAATTATGTGCTGTTAAATATATGTGCCTGGCAGCTTTTTAGTGAGTTACTAAAACTGAGATATTAAAAGAAGTTACTAAAACATCCATTAACTCCTTTCATCTCATAAGCAGTAAAATTTAGATATAAAAATTACGTACTACGAGTTATCATAATTTGAAAATGTTTGTTATACTCAAGATTATTTTTAAATCTCTTGCTTGGCGAATTCTCTCTCTCTCTCTCTCTCTCTCTCTCCGTTAATTTTCAGATATCACGAGAGAAGGATGATTGCCGTTATCGAGTATGCAGACTAAGGGCATCGTGTTGCACCCTCTAAATAAAATAAAGCTGAATATAACGCGCGGACGAAACAATCCTGCGTTTACGACGAGTGGCGCCGTAAACAGGATAAGACGTATCGTAAAATTCCAGTGCAGAGTCATTTAAACTTGATATTTTTATTTCGATTCCTCCTGACATGTCTGCTTGCCCACCTCTTCCGCCACCCATCGCGATTAACGTTTTTAATTAACGATCCACATTTGTGGAATACGATCGGCAGTCGCGAAGATCATCGACCTACAACGTGGATAATCCCCATTAAAATTAATCTTTTGAGGGCTATTTTATATTTTTTAATAAATATCAATTGGAATTCCACGATTTAATTTCATGTATCTCTATTTTTTCCTTTAAAAAATGAACTCAAATTTTAGTTGATTTTTATTTAATGCTCATGGAAAGGATATCAGAATGCACTCTGGAATTTGAAATTAATTTCAGATCTTGCATCGCGCGCTTTGGTTTATATTGAGAACAAAGTCTCCCTAGCGCCACGAGAGAGTACATCTCGTTAAAAAGTCTCACTCCGGTCGTCGCTTCCTCCTGCATCTATTTTCGTTGTACGCGCGTTTGTATACGGGTAGAGGAAGTCGTCGCACGAAAGCACGTGGTATTCCATCCACCGCCGCGTTTCCGTCTTTCTGCCTTCCCTCCGGCGCGGCGCGGCGCGGCGCGGCGTGGGGCGTCCGCCACCGATCCATTTGGCACGTTTATTTCTGTGTTTACTTCGCAGTCGGCACATAAGCTTGGTGCTACGGAGCTCCGACCTCCGCGAGACGAAAATGATGGCAACGCTTCTTCTCGCAGTATAGGCCTTCGAACTCGCGTTAAGGAACTCGTTAACTCGATATCGTGCATTTGTATACCAAACCGATTTCTGGACCTCGCTCCGATTACACGAACCGTCAATGAAAATGTAGTTCAAAGACAGTCAAATTTAGCAACGCGCGTCATTAGCGTCCGAGCCTGCTGCTTATATTGCGTAGGTAAAATTTTAATTATATTTATTACAATAATAAGTAGTAATATTTGGAGTAGTATTTGTCGTCGTATCCATTACTATTGTTTTATATTGCGTTTAAATTACAGATGTCTTTTGCAATATTTGAAATTATGTCTAAAGGATGATAGATATATTGATTCGGGAATATTCTCTTTAAGAGTTTAGAAAATATATTTTACGCGGTATTGTTCCAAGGATATAATAAAATCTATATATGGTTTACCGTCATGGTATTTATGGCACCGATAAAATACTAATGAGAAACTCTATCTCTCTGAACTGTACTATAAGAATTCGTAAATACTATTGAGGATCTTTAGATATAGATACTTTAATCGGTATGAAACGTGTACCGGTATTTCTATGATGTTTGCCGAACAATTCATATAAAATATAGATTCTTTAAATTACTCGCACTGATCCCCGGTTATGTATAAAGATGAAGTGTAGATCTTTCATTGCCATTAATAAGAATCGAGCAAGAAAGATTAATACAGTAACAGTAATTTTTATTGACGCGCGATTTCTCGCTTAAATATAAAATGCTGCTTCACCACAATTTTATGGTAGAAAAAATCGATAATTCTCACGATATCTAATTATCCATTTAACATTTTGGAAAAGAATAACGGAAAATTTCAAGTCTAAAATAAAAAAATCATCAATTCAAAAATTTATAAAGCATTCTTTCCATATTGAAAAACCAATTGATTGTTTTTAAAGTGCGTCATAAATTTTTATTCACTTAAAAGGCAAAACGAAATTTTTCAGCGTAAAAATAAATAAATAATTTTAAAACATTGAACACAATCATGACCGTTGTTTGAAACAGATTATATAAATATGGAATTACTTCATTTTTGTACTGAATACTTTCGTTATTTAAATAATGCTATCTATAATAATTAGACGTACGTTCAAAATATGATGAATTTATTCATACATAGAATACGACCAATGTAATAGTATTCCTTTATAACTGCATTCTTACTGCAGCAATTACTTTTGCATTTGGACAAGAATTACCTGCCCTGACCTTAATTGACTGATACAAGATCCAATTCCCAGATTTAATCAGTGAAAAGTCACAGGTTAAATCGCTTAACATCGTAAAACTTTCCCAAGATATTTTTATCCAATCCAGAGTCTAAAAAATGTAGAACACATCGTGCACGTATGTCCTACATACATGCGCCATCAATAAAAATTTCAAAACTTAAAAATACTAAACTCTCAAATAATTATATTTACGATTGTTCATTGCTTTTACAACTTCCAGAAAATAGTTTCCAAATAGGATATAATAATTACTAAAAGAAATCTTGAATATTGTACGATCGAACCGAATATTCACGCGAACGAGTTGCGGAGTAAGAAAACATTTATTACAAAAATAAATCGCTAGCCAAATGCTGCGTACTGAATACGATTTCGTACCCGTGCAATTTTCTCGTCGCGAATCTCCGCGCAAAGAAGAGCGCGCAGTAAAGATAGCTACGCGAGTGGACACGCGCACTTACCGCGACGCCGCACGCCGTTCGGCAGGCGTCGGGGATGTCAGATAACGCATTGTCTCATTCTTCTGCGTCGATCGCACATACAGCCGCGCGTGTCCCGGATGTGTTTGCGCCGTCATCGACGGAGATGAAAACGGTGGAAAACATACCGCTCACGTTCGCGCGTTCGACTTTTCGCGTTGCACCGTAACTGCGCGCGTTCGAAGTGAAGCTGCCGCTGCCGGCGCGGCGTCGCGCGACTGCCGAGCCGCCGCGCGGTGCGCGCACGAATCAACACGCCAATCAACTCTACCGCGCCTACCGCCGCATATCTATCAAAGCGCGCGTCCGCAATGCCCGCGATTATGTCGCGCACCTGCGAATTGTCGGCGATTGAATTTTATACGCAATCAATGCAATCGATCAGAGAGAAATGCAATGCTTACACGTGCGTTTCCAGACAATACAACAAACTCATGATATTTTCTCGAGATATTTTCCATGAAAGCATAACAGTACATATTTATTTCGTACGTTCTACATACAAATACACACGCATCGTGTACGTGCAGTATGAATTTCAGAAATACCGAGAGCACTGACGAATTACTTAAACTATAACTTTTATTTGCTTCCTTAAAGTCTTCTAGAAAATAATTTTTTAATACGGCAATTATTGAAGCAAGCGAAAACGTGTGTTACGAACTGCATGAAAATAACGCGAGAAAGATTGTATAGGAAATGGAAACATTTGTTAAAATAAATCATTGAGCAAGTGCTGCGTGAATACGATTTTTTATCTGCGTGATATTCTCGTGCAAAGTAAGACGCGCGCGATAACAACAATGGCCGCGCGAACGAACATGCGCAAGCTTACCTCGATACGAGTCGACAGGCAGTAGGATACGGGTCGTCGTGGTCGTCGCATCTTCTCACGTCGGTCGCTCGTTCACTCACGTATGTTCCCGATGGCTCGGCGACGTCGTCGACGGCGACGGGGACGAAAACGGTGAAGAATATGCCGCTGACGCTCGACGTCTCGCACTGCACCATAGTCGCGCGCGTTCGAAATGAAGTTGCCGGCGCCCGGCGTGCCGCGGTCACGTGATCACCGAGCCGCCGCGCGGCGCGCGTGCGCACCAGTCGGCCCAGCGACGGCCAGTGCTGTGCCCGCCATATTGCACTCCCGCGGGTCAAGTCGGCGGCGGCGGCGGCGACTGAGTTTGAATTACACGTAGTCGATGTCGAGCCGAGCCGGCGGGGGGAGATGCAATGCTTGCACGGCGCGTTTCTAGGCGACGGGCCAAGCTCGCGCATGACATTTGCGCGAGTGAGATGAATCGTTACGATCGTATATACGTATATACACACGCCGCGACGTACGATTGAAAAAAAGTTTCGTCGAGCGTAGTTAAGTATAATATATATAGGAACTGTATGATTTCGGAAGGATTGAAGTATGCGCTCGTTAGACGTAGGCAATTAAAATTCTTCTTCGAATTTACAGAAAATAAATAGTTTTAAGTCTCAATGAATAAATGTTTGATTTCGTTTTTTATTTTGAAGAGCGCATTATTTTCTCTCTCTCTCTCTCTCGACAATAAGTGATTATTGAGCGAACAGTGGGGACATAGAGAACGGCAGGAATATTTGTAGATTGCACATACGACAAATTCGAGTCTCATACGCGACACGAAATGTTCGTGAAACGCGACGTACGAAATGTTCGTCAGAGGCTGTAGCGAATTATAAGTATTAGGTCGATATAAATATACGCAATTGCACAACTTTCATATAGCTGTTTATTTTTATTTGCTGAGAAAGGGGAGATAATTCACGCCACTGGAAAATCGGCGGCTGTCACGTATCGTCGAATACACTCCGTCGCGATACGCTCTAGTGACTTGGTAAATAAGCGAGTCCGTCTCCGACCAATGCGCCGACGAAGTCCTTGAACGACTCGCATTCTGTCGTTCGGCAAAGCCCCGGGGCTCCCGGGGCTGGGCATCGACGCAATCGTGTCATTCCAAACGATAAGAGCCCCGGACAGGAGATTACAGCTTACGAACTCTCGCATTTCCAGGCGTCGCGTGTTCCAGTCGCTGACAAAACCGGCGTGGCGGAATGTTTTTGTCACGCGTCATGCTATGATCGTCGGACGCTGGCGATGTCGTTCTATTCCTGTTTCGATCTAGTGACTTTCGATGCGACGTAGTAGCGCCCTGTAGCGAACAGGCCGGCGACCAGCAGCAGCAGGCTGATAACGACGAGGAGGAGCATCCACGAGGAGCGGTCTTGCGAATTATCGATGCGGAGTAACTCGTGCAAACTCCCGAAGATGAGATGCAGCGTGCCGCGCAAGGCGGCGCCGAGTGATTCGCCGGCGACGCAGCCGTCGCCGCCGCAGCAATCATATGACATATGACGGCAAGTCGTTCAGCATGAAAACAATTATAATAGCGAAATACTATCGCGACACGACGCGACGCGATGCGGCTCGCGCCGCGAGGGCCCGCGAGTCGTGACTGTCGTGAGACTCGTGAGCCGGCCCCGCGTAGAGAGATACCGAGTTTCGCGGCTGACGCGTTATGTAGAATCGCGACGTAACGTCGACAGACGTTATACGGGACGAGATCTCGCAAACGTGCGTGCGTGCGTGCGTCGGGGCGTCGGGCGCCGCGCTGCGTGCGAGCAATGGGCACGGTGGGATCAACGCCAAGCGCGGGTTTTCGCTTTCAACTGACTGAAATCGAATGGGCTCGGGATCGCACGCCCGCCGCCGCTCTGTCCGCGTGTGGGTGCGTCGCCCCGCGTCGCGACGCGGTGCGTCGCGCGTGCGTGCACGCTCGCGACGCGTGCCGCTCCGACCCCGCGGTCTATCGCTACGCAATTAAGCGTATTCGGCGAACTCTTTTACTCTCGACGTCGGCTGATTTTTTATTTATTTATTGAAACGTTAATTACGAACATTTCATGCGCTCGCTCACGTAATTATGCGTGATAAATTGCGTTCAATGTTGCAAAATCATTGCGACCGCGCACGTAGCGATAATGCATTAAGATAAATCCACATATATAATAGAGAACAAAGTCGTTCGCGTAATAAAGAACATCTATCGGCGAAAGAGCTCCATTGTTTTTCATTCTTTTGTTTTATAATATTAAATATCTCGAAATTTTAAAGCCAATATACCGCGATCATCAGTTACGGGATAATCGATTGTAAAGCAGATGATTATTAACTGGAGGGGCGGGAAACAAAATCCAGACAAACAAGATTTATCGAACTTGTCGTTTTTTAAACTTGAAACTAGTACTACAACGTACCTTGCTTGTTAGCGACAGTGTGAGTGTTGCTTTAGACTACGCTATAGCTACATCATCCTCTCGAGTCCCTGAAAGCGCAGGAATGCCACTCCGCAACTGACTGTGAAAGTGGTATTAATTGCGACCTTTTAATGCGCCGACATTTTTTCGTCCCAGGTTTTTCTATGTTTTTTCGGGAAGAAAATCCAACCTCTCAAGTATTATAGGTAGGATAATTATACAAGGCTAAAATAAGCAGTAAAATCTTTTGTTAAATTAAAAAGTATATGAAATATTTGTGAAACAATCTAAAAATTGAATTAGCACAGATAAAATAAAAATTATGCTAGAACTATTAGAGATTATATACAAATTTATTTAACACAAATTAAATTGCAAATTTTATATAATATAAATTTTATTGCATTATTCTAGGTTGTCGTTTTCATTCCCCCCCCCCCATATCTTATTATCATACACTAAAATATCGATCATGTAATTTTGTCTCTAAAACGGAAACATGAAAAGTGAAAATTTTTACTATTAAAGGTAATGGAGAAATTTTTCACATTTCCATCCTATAGAAAAAGTTACATGATCGATATCCCTCGATAACTTACACAAAAATTAATAAACTATCAATGTAATTATACCTTAATAAATATTTTGTAAGCACAATTTCTATCTCCTATAAAACGTTTGATCAATTATTTCTTTTCGTCGTTTAAATTATACTTTGTCTTCAATTTATCTAAATCCTCCATCTTTTTATCAACGTCAATTCGCTTAAACGCTTTGTTGCTTTGATAATACAGAACCACCAAGTAACGATTGCACACGTTGAAACCACTCAAGTGGTCACATGCGTTTTTCGCGTCAAATATATCTTCGTAGACAACGAATGCTGTGCCTCTGGTCTCTGCCGTGTTACCTCTGAAACGAGAATAATAATTTTAATTAATTTGTCGTAGATTTACTTTACATTTCGATCGCGTCAACTATAACACGATACTTACACTCTAATTTGCCTGATAGCTCCGTATTTGCCAAATATATCATACATTTCTTCAGCTGTGATTTTATATGGCAAGTTCCTGATGTACAACACTCTGTTTACTTCGGGCGGCAGCCTTACCTGAAATAAAAATTACATTAGAAAACAATAACACGCAAGAAGTAAGGTTAGGTCAACATCGAGATCGTAATCCATCCAATATCGTGTAAGTTTCGTGTATATTTACATTGGCGCGACGTTGCAACATTGCCATAGTCATCTTGACGAATTAGTTTGTCTACTGTAGCTCTTGCAAAATAACAAAATTAAATGTTTGACGATAAAACGTCCCCACAACGCTGATCGATGGATAACAGAAGTAACAAGGACTACAAGGAGTAGCAAGCAATAGATATAGATCCGTATTTGCAAATACCAACAGATATCTTTTGGACAAAAATTCTAGGAAGTAAATCTAGGGACATGAATCTGGTGGATAGTACCATTCGAGAACGCGTCAGAGAGAATCTCTGCTCGCGTTCACGAATATTCTGAGAGAGGGCTCTATCCACTTTTATCTTTTACCGGGAAAGGTTACCCTTTTCCATAGTTCACGAATATTCCGACAGCATCTCTGCAATCGCCCCCTCGCGCATACCTAAAAAGAAAACAGCGCAATTGGAGCTTCTGAAGAGCAGAAGAGCAAAAATGGCTGCTTGGATGAGAGTTGCACGAACCTTTTCCAGAAAATATTCGTCGGATGCTGCCAGTCATGGCAGTTCAGGTGAATATAAATGATATGTCCTAATAATTTACTACATTACTTACGCGATTGAAAACAATGATATTTATATTCACATCAAATATCGATTTTAGACGATATTGTTTCTTGTCGCAAAGTGTCATTTTTATCAAATGTTATTAATTAAGTTTTAAATGCCACTCTTTATATTTAAATAATTACGATGGCGTATCGTGTTTTACGAACAAAGAGAAAACGTATGGACGATGTCAAATGAGTTATCAATGAATATTACGTAACAGTGACGGTGTGTGCTTTACAGAGCAGACTGTACTGCTGTGGAAGAGGCTCTCGTTTTTCGTAGGCTTTCCGGCGATACTCATGGGTATGGTTAATTGCTATTTGAATCATCAGGAACACCATCATGATCCACCTCCAGAATTTGTAGCATACGAACACATGAGGATAAGAACCAAGGTATAATAACGTTAACGTCAACATATAGGCTGCGATCCGATTCATGCTCACAGCGCTCTTGGAATCATTTCATCCTTGCTGTTAATCGAATATTAATAAAGAAAATATAAAAAAAAATTATAAAGACAAATGACATACTCGCGAGCGCTGTGAGCATAAATCAGACCTCAGCTATAATGTATAGTGTATAACGTATGACGAAAGTCATACCGCTAAGTGCAAGAAAATTGATATAGGCTCTTTCAAGATCTAGTCCTTGCTAATTTTTATGTTACATGTTTGTTTTTAGAAATTCCCATGGGGAGATGGTAACCACAGTCTTTTCCATAATCCTAAAGCAAATGCTCTACCTGAGGGTTACGAAGAATAGAAATGAAAAAGAATGGTGTTATCTAGATGGTTATAATTACGCTCTACATTAGCATTCTTTATAACATGTATCCTGCAATTATATTGGCTTATGAACAATTGAGTCAATAAATTTATAGATTGAGAGAGAGATAAATTGATAGTGACGTTTATATTTTTTTTCATCCAATTACCATGATATAGAGATTAATATAATTATAAATCACAAGATATATTAAATTTATAATTCTGTATAATGTTTTGCATACCAAAATATTTAATATTACAAAGTCTATTAAATTTAAAGATCTGCAATTAAGAGAAAACATTAAATTTATTAAATTACATTTATTAATATTGTGTTTAATTATCTATGTGATAAATATAGAGTTTAGGAATAATAAGTATCAATCAATATAAATTCCTTTTTTGGCCTTTATTTAAATATTTCTTCACATCTTGATGTATCACACGACGAACATAGTTACTACAAATATATCATCAAGATTCGCCAAGATGTAAATACATACAACAATCATTTTCTTTCAATCGCCAACATTATCAAATCTGGTATACGAATATCAAAAATCTAATACACAATCAAGTCGTACGTCAAGTAATTTTTATAAAATGAAAATTACTTAACGTATTGTATGTTAAATACACAATATAAAATAACACAGTAAATTTAGTAAGCTTAATACTATCTATGTACTCAAATTAATATAACAAAATTAATACTTTATGTTATCATTACTTAATCTATATCAGATAATGGAAAATAACGAGGAATGTGTCTTATAACTGATTGTGAGTATAAGGAAATATTAGAGAAAAAAATTGAAAAAGCTAATTTCTTATGTCATCACTTTTTGCAAATGCGCTAATGAATAGATACACGAGTATGAATATATAAATATATTTATTAGTGCATTTGTATGTATGAGTATATGTGTATATGCGTGCATACATATATATGTATATATTTAAATGTGAAATAAATGTATATAATTAATTTAAATCGAGTTAACCAAACGATTGCACAGTTGCTACTATAAATGTACCGGGTATAGGCGCGAAAAAAAGTAACACTTGAGAAAGTTAAGTACCATTACTCTTCACAACTTTTTCATTATTGCTATATTCTTTTATCGTTAACGAAGCAAGAAATTAAGATAACAACGCAAATCGTTTTACATATTACATAATTCTTTAGAAATGTTCTGTTACAAAAATAACGTACGCGTCAACAGTTTTTGTTTTAAATACAGATAACAATGAACACTGATTAATTGAGAGATATTTTGGTCCAAGAATCTTAAAATTCTAATAGCAGTTTATTTAATGGTAGTGAAGAATTTTAAGATATAAATATGCGTTCGTATACTAATCGATGCAGATAATTGGATAATTATTGCCCTTGCACTGCTTGTAATGTTGCGCGTACCAGTGCAAAGATGAGCAACGTTTTGAGCAATAATGAGCTTCCAAGCAACCTTGACAATATACCGTACTCTTGCGTTTGCAGCGTAAACAGGGCTTGTTTACCTCATCGTCTATCTCATCTGAAATTCCCAGGTTGTCATTTACATCAAATGTTCCATCATTCAAAAACTCCGAATCACTTTGAAATGTTTCCTTATTTTCCATCTTGAATGATGATAGTGATACGCTTTCAGTCTTCACAATAATTGGATTGAACTCGGTGACTTCAGAACCCTCGTCGGTTGTCGTGGAAACACATTCGACAATGTCGGTGTTAGGAAAAACGTTTTTATCGAAAACTTTTTCTACATTTGCATCGACGAGATCGTCCTTTTGAATGGAGTTACGTGAAATTGTTCGTGATTTTCCATATTTCTGTTCGGATACATATTTGAGCTGTTCATTAATTGCTTTAATACCACTGTGAGTGTCTATTTCCTTTTCTATTTCTTCAGAGAGCTTTAAGCAGATCGAATGTGGCGAGTGCATCGAACTCTCTCCGATACTCGATATGTCCGAATCTTCAAGTTGTAATGTCATTTCTTCACACTTCTCCTCTACTCTTGATGGCGATTGTTCATCATTTTCGTCTTTTGAATCTTCATATTTCTTTATGGTATCGATCATACTTTCTTCCATATTCCTTTCATCCTTAAATTCCAATAATATATCCTGCATTTTCTTTCCTTCTATACTCAATGTGTTCGAATCTTCAAGTTGTAATGTCATTTCTTCACACTCCTCTACTCTTGATGGCGATTGCTCATCATTTTCGTCTTTTGAATCTTCATATTTCTTTGTGGTATCGATCATACTTTCTTTCATATTCCTCTCATCCTTAAATTCCAGTAATATATCCTGCATTTTCTTTACTTCTATACTCGATGTGTCCGAATCTTCAAGTTGTAATGTCATTTCTTCACACTCCTCTACACTTGATGGCGATTGCTCATCATTTTCGTCTTTTGAATCTTCATATTTCTTTGTGGTGTCGATCATACTTTCTTCCATATTCTTCTCATCCTTAAATTCTAATAATATATCCTGCGTTTTCTCTACTTCTAACGGCGGTTTCTCATCAAAAACCTCAATATCTGATGTTTCGTTTACAAAATCTTGATGTATATCAGATAAATCTGTCTCGGCGATGTTTTTCGCAGGAGATGAAGTTGCTTTTGTAGAATCGCATCCTATCACATTAAATAATGGTACCGAATCTTGCGACGTACTTAAGTTATCTTCTTTAGAAGATGATACCTTATCACATTGCTCTTCCTTCTCCGCATTTTCGTCGATATACAGTTTTTCGGAACTTTCATACATTTCATCGGTATAATTATTACTTCGTTCGTCCGAAGATTCTTTTTGCTGTGCATTTAAGCAAAATTCTGATATATCATATGCGATAGGTAGTTGCGTAGATTTACATTTGAAGACAATCGGAGATATCGATTTCTCTATGTCGTTTAATAAAGATGGTTCTGAACTATACGAAATATTCAATGGATCAACCTGTATCTTTGTGGAATTTAATATTTTAACATTCTCTCCGACATCATTACGCATACTATCTTGTAAATTTTCACTGGATATTTCATTACTGACATTACATATTTTTTCATTTTGATCTTCCGTATTACATGAAGTTCGTGTTGTCGCATCGTTTCCTCCGCTACTATTTATAATTGTAACGTTAGAAATTTCGCGTAGGCTTACCGTTTCCATATTACTAGATCTCTTGTTTGCATTATTCTTCGCGATTTCTGATTGATCTTCCGTTTCCTCAATTGACGCATCTTGTAGTGCACTTAATGGATTTTGTAAAAGAGAGCATAATTCTGGCAATTGCTTGTCATATAAACTTGCCGCTTTCGGAGACTCGTTAATTTCCGCGTTATCTTTCGTTTCCGTATTCTTGGCAGACACTTCTGCAATCGAATTCTCTTCTGGCGCCTTTGACTGTTCTGACAACGATGTTTCTGTACTCTCAGGCTCTTTTTCCACATCGATCAATAAATCTTTTTGGAATTGTTTTCTTGATACGCTGTTATCTTCCTCTTGTACTCTTGTGTCTTGTAAAAGTGGTTCCTTGATTATTGCAGATTTCGGCATAGAAAGTGATTCTTCATTTGACGTTTCTAAATTATTCTTGACCGTTGTAGATTTTCGAATATTTCGAAGATTATTCGAAATACTCGGGAAAATACTTCGTTCTGAGGATTGCTTTTCTAAATCCCTATCACTCACTGAGTCATTCTCATTATCTCGATTAGATTGAATCTTCATTACCTTGTCTACAGTTGTTTGTATTGTGTTCTCTTGTAATGACCTGTTTAGTGATGTAGTGTCTTGTGGATCCTTTTCGACTGATTTTTCAGCGGCCTGTAACTTTTCCATAATCTTTATTATGTAATCATTTAAATTCCAATACAAGCAAAGCAACATTGTTCTCTCATAATACAATTGTTCATATTCCTGCTTGTTAAGCGAATATTTCAGTAGGTCCGACATAGTGAAATATAATTTTATTTGATTACGCAATACAATTTTCTGAATGTCCGTCAGAATCACAAAATTTGAATTTGTAATTTTGTTTGTTTGCGATTGTGCGAATTTGGCAATTGTCGATGTGGATTTTGACAAATTTGACGCTGCGTTATTTTTTTGTGAATATAATGTAAATATTATATTTTCTAAGACTCTATTCATTCTTTGTGGCATGGAAGTTTTCGGAATAGTGCCGGATGTATTTTGCAATACGTTACATCTGTCTGGAAGTTTTTCTGCAAGTCCATCTAGAAGTATATTTCGTTGTGGATTCGTAGACGCCTTCTTTTGCATGTAATTTTTATTTTGTGACTCGGGAATCTCTGCTCTTTCGTTTAGCACATTTTGTTGCACATTGTGCGATGTATCATTAATCGATACATCATTCGGACATACGAATGTATTTTTGAATAGTGTAAAATGTGGGATGTTTGTGGTTGTATTACTGCTAATTGTATTTTCAGACTCGACGTGTGACAGTCTCGTGTTCGTTGTAGGATGTAAGAACATGTTTGCATTCCTTCGATTTACCGGCAAACTCTGCTGCGATATCTGTCGCACATTTTGAACTGGCAAGGTATTCTGAACGGGATGCATATTGCACTGTTGAGATAAACAAAGAGCTTCGTTTGGATTCAGAATGTGTAATTGCGTTTTTTCCGAAGATGCTTGAGAGACTTGCGAACTGCAACTCGCTTGATACTGATTCACATTTGTACTCCCATGTCTAACATTTCCCATTGCAGCATTGATTCTCTTAAAATTTTCTATGAAAGATTCAGATAATGTGACATTTTGCACAGTCTGGCGTGACCCACAAGGAATATTTAGATTTATCGTCATAGGCGACTGAACTGTTCTTATAGACTTTATTTGCGACGTCTGTTTCTGTGCGCAAGCAGCAGATGCGATTGCAGTACTGTTAACAATATTTTTTTGCAACGTGGCGTGTGATGATGTTGTCATGTTTGTTGTAGGAGGCATGTTTGCGTTTCTTTGATTTACATGTACACGTGAGCACATATTAGCATTATGTGATGAAACGGTATTCATATTTACAAAATCTTGTAACCCTTGAATGCCGACATTCGATATATTTCCGAATGGCATATACTGGCCTTGCGTCGGATAACTCGCACTTTCTAAAAATTGTTGCTGATTAGCATTCGGCATACGTGAGTATGGTGGAGGTTGTGGTCTATAAGATGTATATTGTTGACAAATATTTGGCGTAGGTTGTCTCGAATGTGGCACTTGTGTAAAATTAGCCGAATTGCCGAACGATTGCTGCTGATTGATGTTTGGGATTATCGACGCCGGATATGGTATTGTTGAAGATTGCATGAATTGATCACGATTTGGCATTCTTGCGTTGAGAAGTGAAACTTTTCTCATAAATGGTTGCGCGTTTTTCGGCATTGATGCATTTGGATGCATTGCTGTGACATTTTTTGGGGGCAACCATATTTTCCATCGTTCTACATCTTCCTCTATTTGTCTTATGCTTGTATTTACGTGTTCACTGTAATCTTGCGATCTTATTTCTGTTGGAGCATCGAGCACGTTATATTTTTCATGTACAGTGGAATCGGCATTGTATGGAATCGGTATTGCACTTTTGGTATTGCACAAATTATTGGCTTTTGTTTTAGCCGAAATTACGTTTTCTATGATTTTTTGCGAATTATTTAGTAACTCATTATTTCTATGTATCAATGTTTCATTTCTTACCTCCTTTTCGATTAGGTCATTTATAGTATAACAATTCTCGATGTGGACAGAGAAATTGTTGGAATTGTGAGAATTTACTTCAGCCAATACATCTGTATTTTCTTGGGAATCATTAGTTGATGTATCATATTTTGCATTCTGCCAATGTCTTCGCTTTGTGTGCTCATCTGAGCTTTCTTCTCTTTTTCTTTTCATTTTAAGTTTTATTTTTAATGGATTTATATTTTTTTCTATAAATATTTCATCACTTTTTTCCTTTTCTCTGAAATAGACATATATAGACATAGAAATATATGTTATTTATATACATGTAGTAATGATAAATGTAATCAAGAAATGTGATAATTATTTCTATAAAGATATTTATAGAAACAATTATATTTATATATTTATAATTACAGAATTGTTAATAAATTAGATAAGTAATGAATTAGAAAAAATATATATATTTGTTTAAGAAACGAGTCGATTCTGCTGCGCAGTATGTACTATTAATATTACCTAAGTTAATTTGGTATATTAATTTAGTATTAATACTAAATTAATATACCTAATACGAATCGGTTCTGCTACGCAATATGTGCTATTAATATTATCAAAGTTAATTTAGTATTAATAACTAAATTAATATAATTCTAATTATTAAATAAAAAAGGATTTCTTTATTTCAGATCAGACATTTATGCACGTTGATTCCAGAAATTCATTGATCAACATCTTAGAAATTGAACAGTGACTGTTGCACGCAAAAATCGAATCGAATCACGCTGCATTCGATTATACAAAGTATGCTCGAGAAAGATTTCACAAATCACGTGCTCTTGTAAAAGAATACTTCACTTCGAAGAGACTCTGTTCTCTTCTCTTTAGTAATTACTACTTTGCTCTTAGACATTCCAGTTAACAACCCTGTGTCATCCATGGATTTTATTGGGAGTTTTGCACATGAACCATTTGTGAAATCCGACTCCGGATTCTCTCGAGAGCCATTGATACGTGAACCATTTGTGAAATCTGACTCCGGATTCTCTCGCAAGAATCAATACTTTTCTGTGAAATTAGAGCGGGATAGTGCAACACAACGTTCCGTTATAATGTTGTTCTCCGACAGGAGGCAGCACACTGATTTTTCTTACTTGGCAGTTTTTGTAACATCAATGTATCATTGCAAGATCTTTTTTCACTTGTGCCTACTTCCGGCGTCGAATTCGCGCACACAATGCGCGAACATATTAAAGGCAATGACTGTCATTAAAACAAATTAATTGCGGCTTAAAAGCATTGCCATGTACCTTGCATAATCTCGTTGCTCGCAGTAGTATGTCGGAAAAATTAAATATCGCTGAAACAACAAGATTTATTATCATGGCGAGTCTGACATTCGCGGGAACTTACAAGAATTAGTTCCTTAAAGAAATAAAAAATATGTTTTGCTTCGGCTTTTTAATACTATTCATCATTTTTTTGTAGTATTTTAAATTTAATTATATATCTTTTTATCTCTTTAATTATAATTTTGCGTTTCGTTGTAACAATTAAGTTTGCAGTCATTATGGTCATTATAAATATTTTGTAACAAAATCAGAAAAGATCTATCATTAATTAAAAAAGATCTACGCAAAAAGATTTATTTGCAATCCCTTGAGTTCGTTTTGCTCTATTTTTCTATACAAAATCGAGACGTTTGCGAAATGCGCTTAAAAATCAAGATCCACCGATTCGTCGATTGAATTTGCGGTACATCAATCTCTGAGAAAAAAAAGCATGCGTATCGACAACTAGGTGTTTGTACGCATCACGTGTTACGCACACGACATTCCACAGCCGTTTTCCGCCAGGATCATTCGTACGTAAGGAGAATAATTTTAAGTATCGTCTCGATACTTAAAAATAACGATACAAGGCTTTGGATAAATTATGCATTTTTAGAGGACTTGATATTTTAAATATTCTGTTTGATCATAATAATATATTATAATGATATATATAATATAATGATATATATAATAAGTATTATAAATTATAATGAGTTTATAATAATTACTGTCGATTGTTAACAAACTGTTAACAAAACAATTAGCAATGTGCAAATATCTTTTAAACTCTTTGCGAATCATCGAATAGTATAATGGATATAAAATTAATATTCCATGTATAATTCTTAAACGCATCCGTTATACGTTTCGATTATTTAACGGATAATTAAAAGTGCATTTTGGTCCCTTATTTTAGGTAAAAATCAAAGTTAAAAGATGCAAAATAAACTATAAATAGAATTTTAGCATTTTTGTATTTACGTACTTTCGTTGAAATGCCGAAAGAAGTGTCTTACTTTGTTTCCTGCTGGAGTTTTAATAATCGCAACTCATTTGTTGAAAAAAAAGACTGCTCGAAGATTTTTCTATCTCCCTTCATACGAATGTTATAACACGACAAGTAGAAAACCGTGTAATTTCTAGTGAAATAAACAACATTATGTAAACATGTGCTACGTACGCAACTATCTATATATCGACATAGCGATTTAACTTATATATATTAATTTATTAATGTAAATACCTTTAATCATTTATAGGCAGATTCAATGACTACTCTCCGAATTATGATGAGCGAATAATAATAATGCAGTGTGCCTCTAAAAAAACTAACAGTGCTAAATAATTTTATTGGAAATTTTCTGTAGTATATATTTCACACACAGATTATTACTAAAAATATCATCTCGTTATTAACCAACTTCGCACGACTTCAAATATTAATCGTCGTGAAAAATAGTGTTTGCACACTTTATAAGCTGTGGCACGTCGGCACATCGGCACGTTTGAACGTTTCGTCTAAACTATCTTATCTTGAAATTCTAACCCTTGGGACTGACATAAACACAAAGAAGGGGCAAAGTGACCTCCCAAGAGCGAAGTAAAAAGGAACAGTAGTGACAGTGAATTCTTTCATTGTACACAGCCAAGAGCTTCTTCGTATATGTAAGTACGTAACGTGTTTATTTTTGAAATTTCTAAACACTTTGAGAATTCGGCAGTTTTATTTATAATAAATTAAACATGAGAAAAAAAGAGCAAAATGCATTATGCGAGAAATATTGAAGAATTTTTTTTCTTTAAAGTAAAATAATGCCAAACTTTGCTTGATAGCATTTAGACTAAATTGTTACTATGCCAAAAATATTTCAAAAACTATATTTAAAGAAACTCCTCGCTTTCAATCTCCATATTCAGAAATTATAATAAATTATATCAATTTGTATCAATTTGCAATTATTAATTCCTATTTATTTAATTGCAATCAATATAACCGTTTTCTTACGTACTTACAGTTGTTTGTTTTGTTATAATTTGTGTAAAAAAGCTGTAATTAGCACATATTTCGCAGCAAAAACGACTTCCTAGCTTATTCTGATTTCTGCAAATTTAATTAATTTTGCGCATACGCAATGATCACAGATTTTTATAGAAAATAATGACTAATCAAGTGATCGCGCGATAAATACTTAAATACTTTACACGTAAATTGCGAATGAAGCTTACATATAAATGCAATCTGCAATCCATAAATTAGTAATATCATTTAATAGCATTTAAATTATTAATAATCTGAACGGAAACTTACCCATTAGTTAGTCGATAGAGAATTATGCACGGGTTGACTGCTAGCTGCATAAGTCCCGCACGCGTCGTCCGCCTTGACAGTCCTAGGTTCCGCAGATCGTTCTTTAGCTGAAATAATCATTTCGTGATGAAATATTTCAGAATGTGCCTGTAAAATTTCGTACATATTCGAGCTTGCGTCAATAATATCTATAATTGAAAGAACTGTAACCAAAAAAAAGAACTAATGACTTATACATACTCAATCGATGCGATCGATTGATCAACGAGATACTCGAAGGATCGCGTTAAACAGTGTACTACACGTTGACGCACGCTCTTTCGTCTGCGTTTAATGACTGCTCTCTGCGACTCTGCCAGACTCTGCCCCTCTCTCGCCTACTCTCAATTAGAGTTTTCCTGAATAGGAACAGACTGCAGATGGCCTCCCCATACATGCACACACATACATGCCTATCAACTTTCACACATGTTTTTCAACAGTCTTTCCACTAATCACTTATTGAATATCTGTCTGAATAGATTTTTTGGAATGAAAAAGATTATAAGCGAAAACAATAGAGTACTCTGTGAAAACTGGATTGTGAAAAGAAAACTGAAAAGAAGGGGTAGTCTTTGTACTTGCACTTTTTACTTGTACTTCCCCTGGGGGACCTTGGTCCTTTTCGAAAATATGTATATTATTGCGCATGGTTTTACCCGCACAACTTTTACTACGGAATCGTTCAATACTATTATTCAAACTTTTTTTTTTCATCTTCACTTTTTTACTTCGTTTATTAATATTTATATTTTTTATCAAAAATTTTTTTGCCTCCAAGAAAGACAAAAACATATATACTCTTAAGTTCTTTTTGTGTATAAGAATTGTATGTATGAAACTATATCATTTATGTATATTTTCCATCTTTTCTAATAACATTTTATTGAAATGCTTCTTTATTATGGAAATGTTTGCATTACAAATCTTGTCGTTGACAAATAATTCTCTTCTTAAGTATTAATCTTACTTTAAACTTTTGCTCGCGAACGTTTTCTCATATAATTAAATTTTGCGTTTTGCGTGACGCATCGCGGAAACGAATATGCAACTTGATGTAATTTGAGGTCTATCATGCGCAACACAGATAACGGTAACGAGATTCCTTGCATTTCTTGTCACGCTTATATTTGTCTCACTATTATATATTTTCCTTTGCCGCTGTGAAATCAGTTGTTTCTTCATAACTTCTATCTATTCATAAATTATATTCTATTATATTTAATTCCTCGTTATATGTATTTTGTGCATGTTTACGATTATTTTTATGCTTTCTCATACTCGATGAATAGCAAAAAGATATAATCGAGATTTCCCTTTAAAACTACCTGCTAATGTCGTTCCTTTATCAGCGAAACATTCTTTTTTTTTTATAACATTTTATGGCAAAAGAAAATGTAACATTTTATGGCGAAACGAACACGACAGAACACGAGAGCAGCAAATATTTTTGAAAAGGATACTGAGAAATGCTCAAAGAGGGACCAATACAACTGTGAATCCACGCGATCGTATAACATTATATGGGTGCAGACACTTCGTCTCATATTATACTAAACCTTGAGCACGTTGTCTCATTATTTATACTAAACCTCTTACTCTGTACTAAATATAAACGTAGTTGACCTTTAAGATAAATCTGACCTAATAGTTATATCGTGTTATCACACAAATTTCCGATAATAATCCTCTCAGTGCTTCGTTAATTGATCTTCGCCAGATCAACAGAAAATAAATAAGAAAAAATTAGGCAATACTGCACGTTATAGATAAGACAACTGCGCGATAGAGAAAAAACTAGTTATATAGATAAATGATTATTCTTTGAATATATAGTGCGCTTCGGCATCACTGATTTTTTTGCGTTTTGTTGCAAGTGCGGCGCGATTTAAAATATAAAAAGATGTATCGGCAAGATAACTGGAGCGGAGAAAATTTGCTCGAATTGTTAATGCGTTCTGATTTTACATAATCGCAAAAAATAATATTTTAATATATAATGCGTGTACGTACAGCATCCTTACATAAGCTCTTTACTGATTCCAGCAGACAGCCAGTATTTTACAATGTTTATGTGTACAATATGTATCTATTACGTATATTAACGCGACTTGTATTTAATACGGTAATTTTAAATTTTACCGAAGCATTTCCTTTATTTTTAAAAAAATATTGGAAGATACAGCTTCAACGTTTTCACAACGAATCGATTACACGAATTAATTAATTGAGGATTCATTCTCTGTGCTATCTGGGATACGCTTCCGAGTTCCGGAGGCATCTCAATTAATTCATGTAATCAACTCATATGAGAAAACGTTGAAGCTGTATAAATGTTTTTATAATATTTTTTAAAAACAGGAAATGAATATACTAATGAATTTTTTCGGACTCTGTGTACTATCTGAAATATACATCGTTCAACGCCGCGGTGGAGATTGAAAAGAATTAAGCGGTCGCTCGCCACATTTGGTGCAGAGTAACATTATACTATGTCCCTTGGGATCAGCAGGAAACCATTAACTAAATTTCTGATTTTTATGACCTCCTAAGATTTTTACGACACGACACGGAAGTCGTTAAAAAGCATAGACGTAATTCACGCAGATTTGTACAAAATTAAATGTATAAAGATGTATCTGTTCTGCAAATATAAGGTGCAAGCAAGATGCGCATAATTAGAAGTAAATTTATTTAACGGTAAGAACTTATTTAAGATAAATATTGTCGTACAGAAAGAATAGTTTCACTTTAAATATCTAAAAATTTAGTTAGAAAAATTTAGCTACAAATCTTAAGTTAATTTTGTTGGACCATCAAAATAATTTTAGGACGCTCAAACTGATTGCTGGAAAAACTTTTTGCAACATTATCATCAACGCTTGAGCGTTTTATATAATTATTTTTCTCAGTCAAACAAAATTATTTTCAACCCAAGTAGCAAGG